CACGGTCGCCAAGGGAGGGGGAAGGGGGGGCGAGGGGCGAGGGGTGGTGGCTGCCACCGCAACCGCAGAGGGCAGAGTGCTCACCGGACAGCGAATCGCCGCTGCCCAGTGGTGCGAACGGCCCTGCGGCGGAGGCGTGCGAGAGGAGCTGCTTGCCGCCGCCGGCGAGCGGCCGCACGTGCTCAACGACGGCCGCCGTGGCCGCCGGAGCCGCTGCCGCCTCCGGCACGGCCGTTGCCGCCTCTGCCGTGAGGGCACCGGGCCGCGAGGAGGAGCAGGCAAGCGCCGCCCTGGCGTCTGCCGCCGCCGCCTCGAGAGCGGCGCTGAGAGCGGTCTCGAGCGACGCCATCTCGAGCGCCAAGATGGAGCGCTCGTGCGCATCCCGCGCCTCGTCGGCGCGGGCCGCCTCCTGCCCCCTCCCTGCCGACGCCTCTGCGCCTTGCAGGGCATCCCTGGACGCCTCGAGCGCCGCCCTCGAGACCTCGAGAGCACCGTCCGCAGCATCGACCCTGCGATGTGGAGAGACGAAAGTGAGCGTGTGCATGAAGGATGGAGTCCGGATCCTCGCGCGAATCCACGGGCCGCCGAACAGTGGCCAGAGTTTAGCAATGGAGGGCAGCAGCGATGCGAGCGCTCCTCTCGAGTCGGGGTATACACAGCATCTATCTCCTCGAGCCGAGCCCGCAGCGCCGCCGCCGCCTCAGCGGCCGCCTGCCTGGCGGCGCGCTCTTTGGCCGCCAGCTCCTGCGCCACCTCGAGCTCCGCCTCGGCCGCCACGGCCCGCGCCTCGGCCGCCTGCAGGAAGGCTCCGAGAAGGGTCCGAGAGCTGTCCGAGAAGAGTCGTCTTCGAAGGATCCTCACCTCCGCCGCCGCCGCCGCATCCACCTCCGCTGCGAGCTGTCTCGTGGCGTCCTCGAGCGCACCGCGAAGACGATGGGCCTCCTCCTCCGCCGCCGCCAGCCGGCCCTCCGCCGCCGCAAGCGACTCGCGCAGCTCCGCCGCAGCGGCCTCCGCCGCTGCCAGACGCGACCCCGCCTCACAAGCCGACTCCGCCTCCGGCGCGGCCCGCTGGAGGGAGAGGGGCTCGGCGGCGGGGACCCTGCCCTGCTCCCGCTGCCGCGCGCTCACGTACGCAGCCGTCGCCACCGCCGCCGCCGCCGCCTCGGCACTCGCTCCGGGGCCACAGCCCTCGGCCAGCGCCTGCTGGCTGGCGTCGAGCCTCCGCCGCTCTTGCTCCCAGCTGGCCATGCGAGACGCCTGCGGGCGGCGCCGGGCGGCGGGTGAAGGGCGAGCGGGTGGGTCCTCCGACGACGGGCGCGCTCTGGCGCCTCGACGCGCCGCTGCCGTGCCAGGCCCTCAAGCTGTGCGCGCAGCCGCGTCGCAACCTCGCGCGGCGGGGTGGCCCGAGCAGCGGTGAGCTCGTCCCGAGCCTGCCGCAGCTGCGCTTCTGCCTCATCGGCTCTCTGGCGCTGTGCCGCCGCCTCCGCCTCCGAGGCAGCGAGCCGCCCGACCAGCACCGCGGCGGCCGCCGCTTCGGAGCTCGGCCCGACGCTTGATGGCGTCCGCAACTGCCGTGCTCGCGACGCGTCCACGGCGGAGTCCAGCTCGCTGAGCTCCGCCTGCCAACCGCGGCGGAGAAGGGGCTCGGCTGGACGCAAGCGCTGCACACGGGCTGGCTGTGCTGCGAGAGCGGGGGCGGGCGGCACCTGCAGCTCGTTGGCGAGTCGCCGAAGCCGTGCGACCTCCTCGCGTGCTTCGTCGAGCAGAGAGCCGTAGTGGGTCGAGACGGACGCCGGGAGATCGTCCAGCGCGCCGCACAACGTCTCGACGGCGGACATTGTACATGCACATGCACGAACGTCGGCAGTTGTGCGGCTTCGCGCCAAAGAATAAAAGGCGTGCGCGGGCGTACAATGGACTATTTCTTGAGGACCATTTCACACACCTCTCCTTAAAATCCCTGTGTGGTGGCGGCGTGCCGTCCTCCCATCCCTCCCTTGGGTTGTCTGTTTTCTTTCTTTCTTTCTTTGAGGACCATTTCCTACTCATTATAGCCGGTGCTAAGTAAGGGTACGCGTATGCTGCCCAACGACGGGCCAAGATTCTATCACCCCGCCGCTCCTCCCGCTCGTCGCTGTCGATGTACTCGTACGCATCCTCACGCGCCGTGTACGCATGCACGTCCTCGTTGAAGGGCTCGTGACCATCCCACTCGTCCCTCGCCAAGCCCAAGCTTACGCGCAGCGGCGGTGGCGGCGGGGTGGGTGGGCGCTCGGCAGCAAGGAGGCACTCAGCAGCCTCGAAGAGGCACGCCAAGGCGGCCTGCGGGCACGGCCCAACACTCGCGGGAGTGTGGCAGCAATATAGGGGGATCCCGGCGGACGCCCCAGGAGCCACACAGAGCTTGCGTCCGGGGGGGTGGCTCTCTGTAGGCCCCGTCCCGGCCGGGGCCGGCTGAGATAGTTCCTCCTCGCGCGGGCGCGGCGCGTCTGGATCATCGAGACGCCTCACGGCACGCATCACCGTGGCGATCTGCTCCGCAGCTGACTGCCCGCACGGCTGGCTGCACTGCTCCAGCTGGAACTGCATCACGGATGAGTTCCAGACGAGATGGCGACGAACGGTTTTCTGTGCAGAGGGTCCCGGCATCGGTCGAAGGCGCCGCGGCAGACGGGCGGAGGATGTGGGCACTGTCTCGCACAACTTGCTTTTCTGAAAGGAGCGAGGGATCGAGCGAGGATCGATCATCTGAATAGGCGACTCGGCCCCTCGCCCCTCCTCACGCAGAGAGCGTGCGACAATGCGGAGGCACAGCGTGCGCAGGGAGACCAGGCCGGGCGGGGCCTCATCCAAGGAAGAGAGAAAGGCGTCGCGCTCGCTGCCCTGCATGCCGAGCACAGGTTGCGTCGGCACTGTGCCGCCGGTACTCCTCGTTGATGAGCACGGAGAACTCCGACTGAAGCCGCATGCACTTCTCGCACTCGCTACGAGCACGCCGATGCTGAAGAACAGCCTCGTGCAACACCTGGCAGGCCGCACGCAGCGACACCGCCGTCTCGCTCTCGATCCCGCGCGCCGCGACTGTGTGGAGCGCGCGGAGCAGCACGAGAGAGAGGCGGCCGGAGGCGAAGCACGTGTCGTGCTTTGCGATCGCAATCGGCATGAGCACTCGGCAGATGCCGCGCAGATGCGACTCTAGCCCTGCGATGTAGCTGCCCTTGACGTCGCCAAGGCATCGCCAGCCAGGAGGGTGCTGCCATGCCGCAGCGACGTAGCGCTCCCACTCCGCGTCGATGAGGAGACACACCGGCTCGCGCAGCACTGCCGAGTACGAGAAGAGCTTCGCGAGCTCGGTCGTGCGCTCGGTGCTGCCGTGCGCGAGCGCGCAGAGTGTGGCAGGAGAGGTTGGGTACTCTCCGTCCCGACTCGCCCACAGCCGGCCGTGGTGCTGCGCCTCGAGCTGACCAAGGTACCAAAGGAGGGAGGAGTAGTGGCCGCTCTTCACGCCCGCGCACGGATGTTTGAGCAGCGCGTACATCTGCTTGTGCCCCGTGAACTCGCTGACCGAGAACTGGCTCGAGAAGAACACGGGCTCCCCGGCGTAGTCGCCACGCCGAGCGAGGAAGCGAGCACGGCGATTAGAAAGGCACGCCTCGTGCCGCCCGTTCGTGTCTCGTCTCTAGTGGCCAGATCCGGAGGCGGCTGGTTGCCCGAGAAGATGGAGGACATGGCTAAGCTTCTGGTGGTGGTGGGCAAATCTGGTTGGGTGATGACGGGTTGCGACGGCGGCGGCGGCGGCGGCACGGCGGCCGGCGGCACAAGAGCGCGAAACACAGGGTTCGGGCTCCTTGCCGCGTAGGGAACTGCCGCCTTATTTAGGTCGGCTCCGTTGATCCTATCCTGCGGCACCTCGAAGTCGAACACTCACTTCGAACCCCACAGCCCATCACTATACACTAAACAGACAATTCACAGATACTATTAACCAACGACCCATTTCGTGTACCAACCCGTCGTGTCGCGTGTGTATCGCCAGCAGAGAGGGGTTCACCACATTGCCGCGCATTCTCTCCCTCTGCCTTGTCGGAGAGATTCCAGCCGCATCGGAAGCTTGCTGCAAGTCCCTACAAGGTACAAGGAGGCTAGGACGGATACGGGATAGCGCGCAGTTCCTGGGCAATGTCATTCTCGAAAGTGGCCTGTTCAGAGGTGTAACGCAACATAGAGATGGGCGAGGCACGCCGTGTCAGACGGTAGGAGCCTAGACAGTGGTTGAAATGGGAGCGGCTAAGATCAATCTCATCATGGGGGGCCAAAGACATATGCTCTAACTGTAGGGTTACACGTGAGGAACGTGTTGCCTTTGCCCCTGCTATCACGGAAGGTGGCGCGCCCACCTTGGACGCCGCCTGTAGTGTTGGGGTAGTGTCGAGAAAAGGATATGATATCATTGGCGTCCATGCAGGCAAGGAGGTTGTTCAGCACATGCAGGCGGTGGCTAGAGGGTGCACACCATCGGGGTAGGTGAGCAGTCCACGAGGGCATCCTGAAGCTCAAGAAGAGCATGCTGACGCGTGGCGCCGCCTAAGCGCCTCGCGAGGGTCGTGTGAGCCTCCGCCTGCACGGGGCGATAACGTCGTGTGATGTGCGATGGTGATTCTCTCTCTCGTGTGTCGTGTTAGCGTTCGCGTCTCTCCCCCCCCCCGTTCGTCTAACATGCGCCACAGCGGGGCCTGCAGCTGCGGGAGCATGAGGGAGCGCAGTGGCGCCGGGGCGCGCACGGTCACTGCGACCATGCCGCCAAACGCCTTCAGCGTGCGAGCCTATGATGCGTTCAACTGCGCGGGTGCTGCGAATGCAACAGCCAAAATGCTGCAGCATACGCGCAAGGTGGCCGGCCAAACCGCTCAGTTCAAAACCGCATTGCACGCCAACAGCACAGAGTGTGCCACCGCCTGGGCATGCACAGCGTCTCGCATCATCGAGCATGACCGCGCTGCAGGACGGTTTGTGATACGGCCTCGAGCTGGCGCCGCCTGCAACACAAATCTGGTCCTCTCCGACGACGCTGGCACCAGCGCGGAGCTGATGCGCTCGTTCGGCCCCGATGGATGGGAGCTGTTTGCAGAGGGCCATGAACTGGCCCACGCGCTCGGGCGGCACCACGGCGGCTGCATCTACACGGCTGAGTATCACATCGGGCGTTCTGGGCGATACCGCCTCAGCATCGCACAGACGCACCAAGGCAGTGGCGCCGCGGTGGACGAGTCGACGCCTGTGTGGCACAAAATGCAGTTTGTGGTGGTTCACTCGTCCTGGGAACATCTGTCGACTCGCAGGATGCCCGCCTTCCCCGGATGCTCGCCGTGGGGCCGCTGGGTGTGGCCTTACGATGACAACGAGCCCTGGGTGCGGGAGGAAGTGCGACCCTGCTTTGGTGGCGGCAATTTCGCTGGCTTCGACGCAATGCCGTGGGCACTCAACCTGACACACTTTGAATGGCGCGCGTTTCCCCGATGTGAACCTTCGCATCTAAAGGGCTGGCAGCTACTCGATGGCCCCGAGCGCGTCCATGCCTGCCTGAGGTCAACGCAGGACCCCAAGCGGCAGACGACGACTTCCGCACTTTTTCTTGGGGACAGCCAGGTGCGCACCATCTTTGAAAGCCTACCCGGACGCACTCCGTTGGCGGCGGCCGCCAGTGGCAAGGCCGCAGCGCAGAGTACGCTGGGGGCAGTCTCCACACGCTCATGCTATGGGGAGGACGTTTACGCCGAGGCGACCAGTCACGACCCAGACCCTGAGCCGGGCACGCAGCGCATGGGCCTGCGCCTCAAGTACAGTTGCGAGCGGGTGAAGCTGTGCCTGGAGCACGACCAACACGACGGGCCCATCCTCGCCTCAATTGTCCAGTGGGGAGAGAACCGCGCCATGAGTATTCAGCAGCATAAGTTTAAGGGCCTCAACGACACCGATGCGGTGCCTTATCGCCAGCGGATTGATGCTCCCTGGTGCGGCCCAACGTTTGCGGGTGCGTCCGCGCTCATCATGGGCTGTCAGAACCACCCGGCCAGTGGGGCGCATTGGACCTTGGAGCAGTACCGGACGTTCATACACGAGCTCGCCATGAACCACACACGCGAGCACCTCCTGCATTCGCCAGTGGTCTGGCTTGAGGGTCACTCCCTTCCAGTGAGGCAGGGCCCACGAAGGGTATCAAAGGACTGGAGGACGTCGCAGCGAGCGCAGGTCTTCAACTGCGTCGCAACCGCCGCAATGACGGCCGCTGGCGCGAGGGTGGTGCCGCTGGGAGTTATGAGCGCTGCGATAGCCGAGGCATCTATGGACGGAGCGCACCCCAATCCATTTGCCGCCGCCACGTTTGCGAGGATGGCGCTCGCCGCGACGTGCCCGCAGTATGCCTCGTCGCTCGTCGTAGCGTCGGATGGTTCATTCTAATCCCTTACTTCTAATTCAAGTCTACTTTGTTCGGACACACGTAATGCATGTACGAAATGTTAACCCCCTTCCGAATATGGCGCGGACGACTCTGAGACGGTCATTTCCCCTAGGATTTACTTTCTCACTATAGCGGCGCCGTGTAGGGCGGTAGGGTGGGGGTTTATAGCGACCGTACACACAGGAGGAAGCTCCGGAGCGCGCTACAAGTAAGACCGAAGAGATCTAATCTTCGGCACGGCGCGCAAGGGGAGGCGCGATAGCGAACAGAAGAGGATAACCGAAAATAGATCCGCCCGCGGCATCAAATCCAAAATCGATCCGCGGGCGCTTCGATCGTTCCTTCGCCCGCAAATCGACCGCGGGCGGTTCGGATTTGTTGTTCTCGCGCTATCGCGCTTGAGTGAACGAGGGAGTGGTGCGAGCGAGCGGGAGATCGCTGCGGCGTCGAGCAACGTGACGTGGTGCAGGTGAACACTGCAGGAGTGGCGGCGACGGGCGTGGTCACTGATTTAGGCTCCCCGCCCTTGCGAAGTCGTTAAGACCGTGTCGCCGCTCTCGGCCCTCGGGCGCTCCCGCACTGGCGCCCCCCCGGGGCTACTGTGCTCGCAGGCGCAGCCTTATTTGAAAAACACAGCAACAGCAGACGAACCCTGGTAATCCCCCCTCACTTTCTTTCGTTGAAAGAGCAACGCGATATACAACGCGACGGCAGGCCTCGCAATGGGCCGAAGCGCCAAGTTGCATGAGCACAAGCTCGCAGAGGTACGAGCTGCGACTAGCGAGCTGCGGTGCATCTTCTTCGAAGCAGAGCTGCCTCCTGTGTTTCCGAATCTGTGCGATCAACGTTACAAGGAGGATGGGCCTCTGAATATCACCACACTGGTCAGCCGTGTCAGGCTGGCAGTCAACTGTTGCACGCACCAGCCGGCGTTCAGCGACAGCACGATCCGGCTGAAGATGCTGACCTCCCTCGCCAAGGGCGGGCGTGGCGAGAATGTGGATGTCTTCGCCATGTTCGATGCTGCCGAGTTTCTCGGTCCTGCACAGCCGCACGTGGCCTCTGATAGCAGTGCCCCTCGCCTGGCCTCATTCCGCAGCCCGGACAGGACAGAAGAGCAAGCACAGGCAGAATATACTCGGGCCACCAACAGACACTACTCACGGCTGCGGTCGGCAGCACGCATGCAAAAAAGGGAGCGGGACAACGGCCGAATCACGGAATGCCGAGCAAAAGCAGCAAAGGCCCCCCAAGCAGCAGCACATCTGCGTGCAACATTCGATGCATGGCGTGCGGAAATTGCGCGAAGGAGGGAAAGGCGCCACGAGCAGGAAGCAGAACGGCAGAGAATCGCAGAGTGGCACTTGTCGCGTGGCTCGTGGCACGTGCACGCGCTTATGTCAGAGGTAGATTGTGTCACCGTCCGGTCCCCGCGTGGAGGTCGTCGAGTTGACGGAGGCGCCTGCCGTGCGCGGCGACGAGATGGCCGAGGCGACGGCCGAGACCTTGCGCACGCTCACCCGGCCTCCGTCGCGGGTCGCGCAGCCCGCGAGGATGATCTTTTTGTACTCCTGCGGCGGAGCGCGGCGGAAGGAATGGCAAATCTCACGTGCGAGCCTTGGGCAGCGGTGGCGGGCGGACACGCACCTCGAATGTGACAACACCATCGTCCGACATGTCCGCCCAGCCGATCATCTCGTCCACACGGTCGTCGATGTCCACCTCTATCGTGACCGTCTTGCTCGCGGCGCAGAGGAGCGCCTGCTTCAGCTCCCGCGCATCGAGATGGCCGTTGCCATCTAGGTCGAGCTTGGCGAATGCGTCTTGAAGTGCCGCGTCGCTGCCGAGGGGCCGCTCAGGAACGAGCGAGTGCCACGCCTGTTTCAGGTGCGTGCGTGTAGCATTCAGTTCGTCTCGACATCACAGACAGGCGACGAGAACAGTGAGCGGCACGCCTCGCTGGCGGTCAGCATGTCCTCGTGGCCACGGTACGTGCGCATGCCCAGGAGGGGGTACGTGCGCATGCCGAGGAGGGGGCGGCGCGAAGTCAGCGTGAGAACGAGTGGGCAGCGGAGCATGAGCATGAGAGTCCTCGTTGAGTGGACTGGCTGCCCCAGGCCGATCGATGATTGCTTCGTCACGGGCCAAAAAAGTGTTTCCAAGCCAAAACCCGCGCGCATTTCTTTTCTTATGTGCGTAATTCGTTTGGGCGCTGGCGAGAAGAGGCACACGCACGCTCTCCCGAGGTCTCTTGGAGCAGAGAGCCCCGGCGAGCCCTCGAAAGAGCAATGGGTCCCCCAATGGGTCCCTCGAGAGGGTACCCTGGGTGGGCGTGGCCTCTACTCGCCATTTAGCGGCGTCTTTTCTTCACGATGTCCACCCCGCCGCGCCGCCGCTCGCGCCGCCTCGCCTCCGCCTCCGCCGCCGCCCCCTCCCCAGACGCGCCGCCGCCCGCCCGCCTGCTCGACCTCCCCAGGGAGCTCCTCGAGCGCGTCCTCTCCCGCTTCGAAAGCCCCATCGACATCGCTCGCGTCGCGGCCGTCTCTCTCCTCTTTCACTCGCTCGCGGAGCAGTGCATCCGCTTGTGGGCGCAAGAGCGCGACTTCGAGCTGCCAGCGCAGCCAGAGGGCGAGAGCTGCGCCGTGCGGTGGCTGTGCTATGCGGCGTTGCTGCACGAGTCCAACCCGCCGGCGAGGGCGGCGGCAGGCTCCTCCCACAGCCTCTTCATTGACGGCGAGGGGCGGCTCTCGTCGTGCGGCTCGGCGGATGACGATCCAGGCCTTCTCGGCCACGGCGAGGGCGTGACGCGGCTCAACACGCCGACCCGCCTCGCGTCGACGCTGGGCGGCGAGCGCGCCGTGAGCGTGTCGGTTGGGTATTGCCACAGCCTCGCCCTGACCGCCGACGGCAGCATCTGGAGCTGGGGCGATGGATTCTTTGGCAAGCTGGGCCACGGCGACGAGCAGAACCAGTGGCTGCCGAAGAAGGTCGAGGCCTTTGCTGGCCAGCGCGTCGTCGCTGTATCGGCGGGAGATCTGCACAGCCTCGCCGTCACCGCCGACGGCTCCGTCTGGAGCTGGGGCTATGGAGGCTTTGGCCGGCTAGGCCACAGCGACGAGGAGGCCCAATGGCAACCCAAGAAGGTCGAGGCCTTTGCTGGCCAGAGCGTCGTCGCTGTGTCGGCTGGAAGTTTCGACAGCCTCGCCATCACCGCCGACGGCGCCCTCTGGTCGTGGGGCTATGGAGCCTCTGGCAAGCTGGGCCACGGCGACGCGCAGAACCAGCTGCTGCCCAAGAAGGTTGAGGCCTTGGCTGGCCAGCGCGTCGTCGCTGTGTCGGCTGGAGGCGACCACAACCTCGCCATCACCGCCGACGGTGCCCTCTGGTCGTGGGGCTATTGCGGCTTTGGCCGGCTGGGCCACGGCGACGAGCAGAACCAGCTGCTGCCCACGAAGGTCGAGGCCTTGGCTGGCCAGCGCATCGTCGCTGTGTCGGCAGGGCGGCACCTCAGCCTCGCACTCAACGCCGATGGCGCCGTCTGGAGCTGGGGCGATGGAGTCTCTGGCAGGTTGGGCCACGGCGACCAGGAGTCGCAGCTGCTGCCGAAGAAGGTCGAGGCCTTTGCAGGGCGGCGCGTCGTCGCTGTGTCAGCGGGAGGCAACCACAGCCTCGCCATGACCGCCGACGGCTCCGTCTGGAGCTGGGGTTGTGGGAGCGAGGGCCAGTTGGGCCACGGCGACCAGCAGGACGAGCTGCTGCCAAAGAAGTTGGAGGTGTGGGCGAGCCAGCCGAGCACGCCCTTCTCCTCTGACGGGGAGGGCAGCGACGAGGGGAGCGACGAGGGGAGCGACGAGGGCAGCGACGAGGGCAGCGACGAGGGCAGCGGCGAGGGCAGCAACGACGAGGACAGCGACGACGAGGGCAGCGAGGAGGAGAGCGAGGAGGAGAGCGAGGAGGAGAGCGAGGAGGAGAGCGAGGAGGGCAGCGAGGAGGAGAGCGAGGAGGACGAGTAGTCGTGAGAGCAAGGGAGAGCTCGGGGAGCGGCCGAGAGAACGCGGTGACCGCGGCGCGACCGGTGTGGCGCGGGCTCCCTTCCCGGGTCGCTCGTGTGAGTCGCTCTCGGGGGCAGTGTGTGTGTCGGCTGTCGGAGTCGCGAGTGCGCGCGCGCGCGCGTGGGATCGAGACTTCGAGACCGCATGAACCTGCATGTGCACAACGTCACTGTCAGGCGCACGCCAGCTGTCACAAGCCACACAAGGTTCACGTTTTCTTTTCCCTTGCCGTCCCTAACGCCTACCCTAACCAAATGAAAAAGCACGATTCTGCTGTTGCGTGTTGGGAGAGAGAGATTTTTAAGTTGGGCCCTCAGCGCCTCCCTCATTGGCGCGTCCAAGCGGCGCAGCGGGGAGGCGAGACAACGATGGAGAAGGGGAGGGAACGACAACGCGCACAGAGGATGAGGATATAAACTGGGACGACGCAGCGGAGGGGATAGACGAGGGAATCGAGGGACCGGAGGGCTTTCGCGACAGCGACGATGACGACGAAGGCAGGGGAGGAGACGGAGGGGCGACACGCAGGAGGAGCGAAATCGCGAACGGCCCGAGCAGAGAGGGCGACGGAGGAGCACGAGGGAACAACGGAGGCGCTACCGAAGACGCGAACCGAGGCACGGGCGACGGCGGGGACCGGGAGGGCGACAGCGACGTCGAGGTTGACGCAACGGTATCGAGAGCGCCACCCAAAAGGAGGCGGACAGCCATGGAGGTCACCGAATGGAGGGCGAACGGCACGATACGAAAAGGCAGGGCGAGGCGGATGGAGAAAGAAGTGCCGAGGAGGCCATGGTGGAGGGGAGGGACGGGAGGACGAAAGAAGGGCGAGGAGGACGAGCGGCCCGCACAGGTCGCGAGCAGACAGCGCCTGCTGGCCATTTCGAGACATTCGCAAAGCGGATAGCCCCATGTGTCCTTTTAAAAAGATTTTTGTCCTAACTAAAAGGACAGGTTCATGAAGGGCGCCACGCGCGCCCCCGCTCGCCGGCCCAGTCGTACCTCCCGCACTCCACTTGCCCTTCGCGACTTCCCCGTGCCCGGTGGTGCGGGGGGACGACAGTCGTGGCCTTGTTTTGGACGTTACGTGCCGCCGAAACTTGATCACCGATCACCGTCTGAATAAGTACTCCTAGAAAACTCTCCAAAGGCCGGTGATCGGTGATCAGTGACCAGCCGGTGATCATGCAGCTAGTGGGTGGTGCCCCGGCCGACGTGAGCGTCATCAACCCGCCCGCAACTACCACCTGACGTACGCCGCACTCGGCCGCGGCGAGCTCTCGAATGAAGACGTGCTGAGCCAGCTCACCGCCAAGCGAGCGCATCAAATGCCGCTCGCTACAACAATGGCACCCTCCCGCAGTACATGCCACGCATCTTCACCACCAACAGCCAGCTGACAGAGGAGGACCACATCCTTCCCCGAAGGCGCAACGCCAAGCAGCAGCAGTTGATCGCCGCTACCGCAAGATTGGTCCGCTGACAGAGCCGCTGCAGCGACTGGGACGCACGCTCAAAACCGGGCGGGCTCATAGTGAAGAAGATGGTGAAGGGAGTGCTTGGGCGCGTGTCCAAAGGTGCCAAGCGGCCTGCAGCGCCCTCCTCCCAGGCTGCAGCCCCCCCCCCTACGCAAGCGGCAGGTGATTGTAGACAGTGATGAGGACTAGCGGGCGTAAAGGACAAGCGGTTGCGGGTACGTCTCCGGGTCGGTTTTGAATGTGTTGCTTGGGCTGGGTCGTGACCCCGCCGCCTGGAGGCTGTCAGGTGGACATGGTAGCATACCTCAATGCCCAGGAGAGGCTTGCAGAGAGCTCAATGGGAGCGAAAACGCGAGATCAAGGTGTCCTTTTGTAAAGGACAAGTCCTTTAAAAGTCATCGGCCTATCCGAAAGAACGCTAGCTACATGGGAGGGCTTCGTGAAGGATGGATTGAAAAACATTCGAACAAAGAAGAGGCGACGGGAGGAACTGGCAGAGGATGCAGTGACGTGACACACACACACACACACACACACACACACACACACACACACACACACACACACACACACACACACACACACACACACACACACACACACCGCTCACCCACGCGCACCGGGCCTTGCACTTTGAATGCCGTGGGGCTCCTGTCGTTAGACGTGTGGAGACGCGAGGGTTGCCCCCCCTTGCCCCACCACCTCGTGTGTGTGGAGAATTTTACCTTACCTTACCTTACCTCTCCCGCGACCCCGGCCCCTCTCGTAGGACGTAGCCGCAGCCGTAGCCGCAGCCCCAACTCTTGCCGCTCTTCCGTGTCGGTCGGGTTGTGACGAGGGGTGAGGGGACATGGATTGAAGATCCCTCACACCAAGATCGTGCAGGGCGGGGACACATGTCCCAGTGTGTTTAAATCCCATCTCGTCTCAGAGTTGACATGACCGTTTTATTTTCCCCTCATTATTGTAGGATATTTGCCACTCAAGAGCGGAGAAAATCGGAAACCACGGCACGTGGTGCACTTAGTAGTATGTAGGCACGCAAAAAAAAGGGAGAAGAGGAATGGGGGAAAAGAGAAAGGGTCCGGTTTAAGGGAAAAGGCGAAAGGATTAGATGAGGAAAAAGGAGAAAACCGGAAGGGCGCGTCTGGGCCCTTCCTTCAGTCCGCTAGGCTAGCTGATGCCGCTACTGAGCCTCCCCGCGGACCTGCTGGCGCGTATCCTTGCGCGCTTCAGCCCCGCTGAAATCGCTCAAGCCGGAGCAGTGTCGGGCATCTTCACCGAGTCCCAGCCTCCGCAGACCGCGGGCGGTGCGCGCGAGCCTTCGATTCTCGTCCAGGCTCTGCAGTTGCGGGCTGAAGAGCATGGCTACGTGCTTCCGGTGCTGCCTTTTCGGTGGCTGTGCTTTGCGGCCATGCAGCACGAGGCCAACCCGCCGGCGAGGGCGGCGGCAGGCTCCTCCCACAGCCTCTTCATCGACGGCGAGGGGCGGCTGTCGTCGTGCGGAACGGCGGATGACGCGCCAGGCCTCCTCGGTCACGGCGAGGGCGTGACGCGGCTCAACACGCCGACCCGCCTACCCCTTCTGGGCGGCGAGCGCGCCGTGAGCGTGTCTGCTGGAGAATTCCACAACCTCGCCATCACCGCCGACGGCTCCGTTTGGAGCTGGGGCGATGGAGGGGATGGCAAGCTGGGCCACGGCGACGAGCAGAACCAGTGGCAGCCGAAGAAGATCGAGGCCTTGGCTGGCCAGCGCGTCGTCGCTGTATCGGCGGGAGCTCTGCACAGCCTCGCCGTCACCGCCGACGGCTCCGTCTGGAGCTGGGGCTATGGAAGCCGTGGCCAGCTGGGCCACGGCGACGAGGAGGCCCAATGGCAACCCAAGAAGGTCGAGGCCTTTGCTGGCCAGAGCGTCGTCGCTGTGTCGGCTGGAAGTTTCGACAGCCTCGCCATCACCGCCGACGGCGCCCTCTGGTCGTGGGGCTATGGAGCCTCTGGCAAGCTGGGCCACGGCGACGCGCAGAACCAGCTGCTGCCCAAGAAGGTTGAGGCCTTGGCTGGCCAGCGCGTCGTCGCTGTGTCGGCTCGGCAGTACCACAGCATCGCCCTCACCGCCGACGGCGCCGTCTGGAGCTGGGGCTGGGGCGGTGGCGAGTTGGGCCACGGCGACCATCATGACCAGCTCCTGCCGAAGAAGGTCGAGGCCTTGGCTGGGCGGCGCGTCGTCGCCGTGTCGGCTGGAATCGATCACAGCCTCGTCCTCACCGCCGACGGCGCCGTCTGGAGCTGGGGCGATGGCGAGGAAGGCCGGTTGGGCCACGGCGACCAGGAGTCGCAGCTGCTGCCGAAGAAGGTCGAGGCCTTTGCAGGGCGGCGCGTCGTCGCTGTGTCAGCGGGAGGCAACCACAGCCTCGCCATGACCGCCGACGGCTCCGTCTGGAGCTGGGGCGATGGATTCGAGGGCCGGTTGGGCCACGGCGACCAGCAGGACGAGCTGCTGCCAAAGAAGTTGGAGGTGTGGGCGAGCCAGCCGAGCACGCCCTTCTCCTCTGACGGGGAGGGCAGCGACGAGGGCAGCGACGAGGGGAGCGACGAGGACAGCGACGACGAGTGGATCGTCGACGAGGGCAGCGAGGAGGCCAGCGAGGAGGGCAGCGAGGAGGAGAGCGAGGAGGACGAGTAGTCGTGAGAGCAAGGGAGAGCTCGGGGAGCGGCCGAGAGAACGCGGTGACCGCGGCGCGACCGGTGTGGCGCGGGCTCCCTTCCCGGGTCGCTCGCGTGAGTCGCTCTCGGGGGCAGTGTGTGTGTCGGCTGTCGGAGTCGCGAGTGCGCGCGTGTGGGTTCGAGACCGCGCGCGCGCACACACGCGCGACACGCGGTGTGCATCGCCATCAGCATCACGCATCAGTGACGGCACCTGCATGTCGTACTTTACATGTGGAGGTCGTTGCGTCGTTCGGCGAACGCTGAATGCGGTGCTTTTTACAATAGCCGTATATCGAGCCAAGGCCGCAACAAGCTGGCTGCTGTCAACAAGGCCCTATGCTACCTCACGCGCGGATCGTTCAAAGAGGACCAGCATACACAGGCTTCTCTGAACTTCTCTGACATGCGTTTGTTTGAGCTTGAGGCTATTTGTGAGAACTGTTTGGCGAAGAAGTCGCCGAAGATTGCGCTCAAGAAGCAGCAACGAGAATCGGAAGAGGAGGATGCTGAGGCGGCGATTGCTGAGCATGAGAAGGACCGATCGCCCGCCGCAGGCGAAGAAAATTTGGGGGTTGCGCCGTATCGTTTGTACGTTGATCACGGTGGGAGCCTCTTGGCCCCAGGCCGTCCACGGCCGACTTAGCCGATGTAAGAGGCTCCCGCTGATCTTAGACCGCGCAAGCACTCCAGCGTGGCTAGCCACACTTAGACCCGTTAGGCCTCCAGGCTCAGAACTTAGACTACTACCCAACCAGTGACGGCCCGGGGAGCCTGCGGCGCTATTTTAACCTGCCCCGACAGAGTCTCTCGATACGGCGCGCGGCGGCGCCGCACCCAGCAAGCTGGGGCCGCTCCTTACGGACTCGTCGCTGCGCTCCTCAAGGCAAACACGAAGCGCGTTTGGTATTCGAAATACCTGGGGTTGCTCTCCGCTAAAACGGAAGCGACAGGGACAGCCTCCAGACACACACTCACATGGAGCTCCTCGCTCGCCCGCCTGGCGGCGGCAGCGGCCATGGCGACGCTGACGGCGGCGGCACTCGTGGCGGTGACACTCGTGGCCGCGGCGGCGCCTGGGCAGCAGAGAGAGCTGTCGCTGCAGTGCTGGCGGCAGCTGGCGGCGGCGGCTGGGGGCGGCGGCTGGCGGCGACATTGCTGGCGGCAGCCATGCGGGGCGGCGCTGCTGTGGCGGCGAGGCGGCGGCGTTGCAGCGCCCTGCCGCAGCAGGCCCGCCCGGATAGCACTGGCAGTCTGCCGGCGCGGCCGGCGCATCGAATGCGCCCGCCGCGCCGGCAGACTGTTGGATGGCCACAGTCGCGAACGTGGGTGAAGTCGTGCGGCGCAGAGACCAGCTCATTCGCCGTCGCCGGTCCCTCGATCACGGGCGCCGTCGCCGGTTGACCCGCGTCCATGGGCGGATTCAGCAGGCCTGCAGCCCTCCAGCCCTCTAAACCCCTCCGACCCCTCTAACCCTCTCGTGGCGGGCACTCTCGGAAGCTCCGCGCCATTCTTTTTTGCGACCCCTCCCGGAGGCCCTTCCGACCCCTCTCGAGCCCTCCCGCCACGAAGATCCTCCCTTTGTCCGACCGTCCCTCCGAGCCCACCCGGCGCCCGAGCCCTCTTGCCTATCACCCGAGCTCGGGCGGGGGGGCGGCGAGCCCTCCTGGACCCCACCACCCCTCCCGCCTCGCCCAGCCCTCCTGACCCCTCTCCCCGGTGGACCGCTCCACCCTCCCAGCGCGCTAGCCCTATGGGACCCTGTGGAGCCCTCCCGACGCCGATCCGACGGGGACCCCTCAAGCCCTGTGGGCTGGCGAGCCCTCTGGTCGGAGGGGTGGAAGTGGGAGGGCTCGAGGACGGACCCCTCTCGCTCCGGGAGGGTGGAGGGGTGGAGGGTGGAGGGGTGGAGGGGTGGTTGAGCCCTCTAGCTCTATCGATATAGCCCTACCCCTCCCGCCGTTTTAGGGCCTCCCCACCCGCTATGCTCGCGTGGCTCCCACCCCGAGGACCTCTGCCCAAGCTGATGGTGCCCAGCCCAGAGGGCCTCAGGGGCTGTAGAGTCACACCTAGGAGAGGGGGTAGCTCACACCTTGTGGGCCGCACTGACCCTTCTCCCACGTGCCCTTGCCCGCCCCTCTGACCGCCGCCCGAGGCCCGACTTTGAGGGGCTGGTGAGCCCCACCGTTGCGCCCTCACCTCACGCTGACATATCCTTTGGGAATGCCCATGGGCTCTAGGGACCCGGGGGCAGCTTTGCCCGCGGGTGCCATGCTAGGCTATGGTAGCCATTCTCCCAGAAGCCAGATTCTCCGCGGAGAGGCCGGAAAAGTGGCCTAGGCGGCCTCCGCTCAAGGATCGTTGGGATTTTCTGGTGACTCAGGAAGGAGGGGTATGTGTGCTCAAATGACAAATCGCCATGGCCCATGCAACCGCCGCCCCGCATCTACTCGAGATCTCGAGTACAGCGCCACACAGCGGTGGACGGCGAGACACTGACGAGGAGCACAGCGTGTATCGAGCGTGTGGCTGGTAGGCACTTGTGGTACCGACAGCCCCTGTGACATCCGTCCGCATCCGCTTGTAATGTTGTAAAACGGCCACAAAGGGGGCGACCTGCCAAGAATTCTTTTCACAGCCGGGCACAATCCTGGGCCCGCTCCTAGGTTTTCAAGCTCACCGACGAAGGGCGACCGCCCCCTGTCGCAGGCTCCGACGTGTGGCGGCGGCTGCACAGTACACATATGGCAAAGCCGGCGCTTCCACGTGTCCTCTTCGGCACGTCCGCGCTCGGCAACCTCTTTGTGGAGCCGACGCACGACGAGAAGAAAGCCGTCGTCGAGCAGGTCCTCAAGGCCGTGCCGACAGCCCTCTTCGACAGCGCAGGCAAGTACGGTGCCGGTCTAGCGCTCGAGGAGCTCGGCCGCTGCCTCGAGGAGCTCGGCGTGGAGCCGGAGCAGGTTCTCATCAGCAACAAGCTCGGCTGGAAGCGCGTCCCGCTCACCACGCCCGAGCCGACCTTTGAGCCCGGCGCGTGGGTCAACCTGAAGAATGACGCCGTCCAGGCCATTTCGTACGACGGCATCATGGAGTGCTACCGGCAGGGCAACGCGCTTCTCGGAAAGTACGAGGCGCGCATCGTGTCAGTGCACGACCCCGACGAGTACCTGGGCGCGGCGGCCGACGAGGCGGACCTCGAGGCGCGGAGGGCGGACGTGCTCGGCGCCTACCGCGCACTCGCGGAGCTGAAGGTGCCGAGCTACAGCCGAGAGCTACGGCCGAGATACAGCCGAGCTACAGTCGAGATACAGCCGAGTATCCGGCCTGAAACGGCCCCTCGACGCCTCCAGACAGTCTCGCCGAGTGCTCCCAGGCACCGCCCACCCCTGTACACCGGGCCTTGCACACTTTGAAGGCCGCGGGGCTCCTGTCGTTAGACGTGGAGTCGCGAGGGTCGCCCCCCCCCCCCCCCCCCCCCCTCTACCCTCCTGCCCCACCACCCTTGTGGAGAAGTGTACCTGTACCTGTGTCCCTCCCCTCCCCTCCCTCCCCAGGCGGCCGGCAAGGTTCAGTCCATCGGCGTCGGCGCAAAGGACATCAGCGTGGTCGGGTTCGTCTCGGACCCCGTGCCCTAGATGCGGACACTAGATGCGGACACTAGATGCGGACACACACACACACACACCCCACGCGCGCGCCTCGCTCCTACGGGACGACTGCTGGCTGCCCCAGATGCGGACACTATATGCACACACGCCTCGCTCCTACGGGACGACTGCTGGCTGCCCCAGATGCGGACACTATATGCACACACGCCTCGCTCCTACGGGACGACTGCTGGCTGCCCCAGATGCGGACACTATATGCACACACGCCTCGCTCCTACGCGACGGCGGCCACTGGAACCAGATGCGGAGCCCAGACCCATATCTCCCCATATCTCCCCACATCTCGAGGCCCCGCGACTTTCCCTCGCCGCTGCCGCCGTCACCTCCCCCGCTGTCACCCCCCCCCCCCCCAACACCCACCCCGCGCGCGCCGCCCGTCCGGCCTGCCGCTGCTCTCGCCCTCGCCTCCAGCCGCCCGCCGCCGCCGGCCTCGCGCTGGCGGGATTCTCGTCGCTCACGCCGCCCACCCACGCGCACCGGGCCTTGCACTTTGAATCCCGTGGGGCTCCTGTCCTTTAGACGTGGAGTGGCGAGGGCTGCCCTGGCCCTTGCCCCACCACCTTGTGGGTGGAGAGGTTTCCCTTCCTTGCCTCTGGTCGCAGGACCACGTGAAGCTCGACTGGGCAATGCTCGCGTGCTCGGTCACCCCCTTCGTGCACGGCGAGGTATGGGGAGATACGGGGAGATACGGGGAGATATGGGGAGATAAGGGACGGCGAGGTTGCGAGAGATGCGACTGACTCACCCTGCTGACTCACCCCCTCCTGCCCCACACCACTGTGTGTGTGCGTGATCGCCTCACCTCACCGTACCTTAGGTTGCGCGCGGGCTGCTGCGCAAGCTCGGCGAGCAGGGCGTCGACGTCATCAATTCGGCAGCCCCCCCCCCCCCCAAGGTACG